GAGAGTGTGTATTCGGCGAGGCTTGGCCTACACCTGTTAATATAAAGGAGATGTATTCTAGTGACCTGTTCACCTTCCTGGAAAGGACAGGATGGACGATGACCTAGGAGGGCAACTCCTCAGGAGGATGTACAATGGGTAACATGTGGCCTAAGTTCTGGGGGCTAGACTCACCCTTCCTACTCTACAGATAGCTAGGTAAATATTCATGCTGAAGAAGGCAAAAATTTTGTTACAACGGGCCCGGGTCTCTCTTACTATATTTTGTTGATAAAAAAACTTCGAAGATAAATGAGTTTAGAGCTTGCTGTAGTGTAGGAACAAAGACTAATTCATAAAGTATTTTATTCTCTGTTGAACTTCGATGTGTTTCGTTCTGCACGAAAGTGAGAATTGTTAACAATGTAATCATCTGCAAAACAACCCAATCTAGCCAAACTGGCGGAAGCGACCGCAGTCGATACGGGTCGACATTAAAGTGTACATGACAGAACATGACTCGGAGGGCAATTACTCCATAACCGCGTCGCACTTAGTGTAAAATATACAGTGAAACGTGTTAGTAGGTGCGGGCTATGTACCGGCCCGGCAAAGTGCAGTGTTTAGTAATGCGGCATCGGCTAATTTAATGTTGATAGAGTGCGCGACGTACCGCGAGGGCTTGCTAATGAGGCGGTTGGGGCGGCCACAGGCCACCGCAAACGCCGCCATATCGGACACCGACAGAAGCCCTTGCGGAGAGGTCGCTCGCTGTAACGGGATGTTAATTGTTGCGATGTTTCGGGGGCAGGAGTGGGATACATTTGATAACTTTGTATGTGCGATGATGTATGCAGCGAGGCAATATGTTTTTTAGGTGACATTCTTTTCGATATCGAAGGAGCATTGGACAATGCAGCACCTGAATTTATGAATCGCAATGAATCCCCTCGAGTTGCAATAGATCCACTCACACGGAACCTTCCTACATGTACCTAAATCTATTGAATCTGAAAAATCATAATTTCAAAAACTACACCTCAGTGATTTATCACTTGAAAAAGCTACTGTGCTAGCGAAACATGTTGTCATATATTTTTTAAATAAAGTTTGTGGAGATAAAATCGTGAGGTGTAGTTTTTGAAATTACTATGGATCTACATCAATCAGTAAAAAAACATAGATTCGGCCATAACACGGCAAGCTCTTAAATAAAACAGCCACTAAGACGAGGCCGTCAGGTTAGAGGCCATCAGGGAATGTCCACAGGGTGGGGAGCTTATCCCCTTTCTGTGGTTACTTCAAAATTTGCTTCATGTCGTTGACAGAACAAATGGATCCTCTACTGACCTCCAAAGAACGTTGCACAATGTTGGCAGTTGGTCCTTTACACGAAGATAAAGAATCTGAATGATTTAAGAATGAAAAATTATTATTCTTGCAGCGGAAGTGAAATATCTAGGTATTATCCTAGATGAAAAATCACCTGGTATGCTTATTTGAAAGAAGTTCAATACAAAGTCAGACTATTCCTACAGACATATCGAAGGATCTTGTGGTCGTAGGCCCAAAAAGTTCATTGTATATATGTGATGATTGTAAGACCAACGATCACGTATTAAGCAATTGCTTGGTGGCTGAAACTTTCACATCGAAAGGCTCATGCGAATTTTTCTAGTGTACAGAGACAGGCTTACTTGCCTATTTCCGGTGACATCTGCTCTACACCGTTCGTAGCCATGGAAATACTTCTAAATCCACTTTCCTCCGCATCCTACCGGAGAGAGACGCTAGATAGAAAACATACAGAATTGTGCATATTGCTAACTGTCAAAATAGCTTATGCAGACCGGTCCTTTATAGTCCTAACCCAGAGGACAGAGAAACCTTACTCCAAGAGCAAAAAAACTAAGAGCAAACGACTGTTGGTTCACAGATGAATCAAAAACACTTTCAGGTTTTAGGGCAAGTGCATTTAGTCGCAGACACGGGATAGATATATCAACCTGCCTGGGGACCTATGCGACTGTATTTCAGGCTAAAACCTACACCACTGATTTATGTGTGGAAAGACGCACTTGGCACTCAACGAGCAATATCCAAGTTGGTATAGTCGCATTGCAGGATGTGTGAACAGGAAGATGATACTGTCAGGCATGTCCTATGCGAGTTCTCGGAGTTATCATCGATAAGAGAGTGTGTGTTCGGCGAGTCTCGGCCTATACCTGCCGATTTGAACGAGATGTCTCCCAGTGACTTGTCCACCTTCCTGGAAACGGCAGGATGGACGATGACTTAGGAGGATAACTCATCGGGAGGATGTACAATGGGTCACATGTGGCCTAAGTGCTATGGGCCTGCATGATACGTAAAATGTTAACTTCTGGCGTTAATGATTTGTTAGAGAAACGCAAGTCGAGCGACATTATTTTCTGGGAAAGGTTTTGGCAAAAGAAAATTGTTTCAATTCATGCCTACAATGGTTTGGAAGGTAATACAGTTGTTGATTCCCCTCTTGGGGAGGGCGCTGCCAGCGGTTTCACCAGACCAGAAACTGCCTCTTCAGGTTTTGCCAAACAAACACTGTATACAAATGCACTGAATGCAAATTACCTTATATGATGGAATTGGCCAAACACTTATTGAAAATTGAATACCTACGTGACGTGTTGCGGTTTTGTCAATTGTTCATTGAAAATTTAACAATGTAGTGTTATTCAAATTATATTATTTTAAGGTCACTTCCAAGTGAACAAGTTTCCCATGACTCCAGAATCAAGCCCCAAGACTGCAAGAATAAAAAAAAAATGTTTGTTTAAAATCTGTATTTCCGTTAATTAGCTATCGCACCCCTACGAACGACAACCCTCAGAAGTCGAAACTTGTGCGAGCTAAGGGTTAACGAGGTCTTACCTTTTACCGTGTGAGTCCTAACACGGGTTGGACGATAGTAAGTGAAAATCGATCGTTCAGCCTGGGGCTTGAACCACCAACCAACACGGCAGTCAATTCGAGTGAGTGAACAAAGCACTCACGTCGAATCGACCGGTTAACGACACCGACCGATCCAACAAATGTAAGGTTACAGCAAGAATGGCCTATGTTGTTTAACAGGAGTACTTATAGGTCACTGTCGTCTGAATCACCATATGTGAAGACTTGAACTGTCGAAAGACATACTTTCTGCCTATCCCACGGTGGCCAGATTCCTCTATATTGGAAATTTTACCTCAATTTATTATATCAGCTTTGGCTGAAACAGGCTTAGAAGCGACTATAATTGGCTTGATCTGCTAACTACGACTCTTGATGAGGCTTTTAGATTCAGAGTCACCAGGGGCTTTCCACAAATTCCTCAAAGCGGAGTACTACCTTCCCTTCTGTGGTAACTCTTGAACCAGTGATGCAATTGAACCCAGGTTTGTGTTTGAGAAACCCTACAAAATACAAATAAAACAGAACACAGAGTCAGATGCTACAAATGCAATATGCATATATACAGACGGCTCAAAAACCAAAGATGGCTCAGGATGTGGAGTGTACTCCAGATCACGAAGCCTAAGGATTAAGTGGGTAATGGGAAAAAATACTAGCGTGGTCCAAATAGAACTGGCTGGTATCTCAATCGCCACAATAGAAATAACCAGAAAATGAATTTCTGGCAAAAACATAACAATCTGCACTATTAGCAGACAAGCCCTATTAGCCTTGAACAGACAACGTGTAACCTCAGGGCTAGTACTAGAGTGTCACCAAGATTTAGCCAAAGCCTCGGTAGATAATAACATTATCCTGAGGTGGGTTAAAGGGCACGGCAGGAGTAAAGGTAATCGCATTGCCGACTCTTTAGCCAAGGAAGCGGCTGGACTAAGAATTTTAGGACTCAGTGGCACCTACGGCCTAATGACTACGACAATTNTCTGTAATCAAGAAATTCATTTCATTCGTTGTATTCCTAGAAGTCGTTTGTATTATTTCAAACTTAGTCTCAATGATAGGTTTATTAATTTTCATGATGCACATTAAAAGTGGTCAATTCCAATCAGACTAAAATAATAAATATTTTTTATATTCGCTGAACTATGCATATCATCTGAACAGCCGAATATGAGTAATATATTGCCCAGATAATTGAAAATTACGATTCGGATCTGACCCCGTTGAAGGTCATAGAAACCATAAAAAACTTTCGAATATGGTCCATTAGCCAGTCTTCAAGTATGCCCACTGACTATACGTGAAAAATTGAGGAATATATTGACATGGCAGGGTCTTTAACTGGTGGAAGACATCATTGAATCACCATTTTACTGATTTTATATTTGTGCTTTTAATTAACCTACACTATTTATTGTTATTATTTTTTAGTTGATGTTTCGTAACATCAAACAAGGATTTCTGTATTTGTGACTTGCCATAAATTTACTATAATACGCGAAATGGTCAAATAATGTACTATACTCTATTGCTGATTGAAGTCATTAAGTGACAATTCAATTCACAAAAACAACTTACATCACGTGAAAAAAAAAAAACTCACAATTCACATTCTCAAAGAATTCATTAAAACTGAATGTAATTTATTTCATATATTACATGATGCTTGTAACATTATTTACGTAAGCATGGGAGGAGGGTAAGAACTTTGCTTACTTTTGCTGACATGGGGGACGGGGTGGGGTTATAATTGTAATAAATATGCTTACGTAATACTTGAACAGTCCCTAAGGACAATTTAAAATTTTATTCAACTCTGCTATGAAGAATGAATTTCAAACACTTGATTGTTTTGTATAAGAAATTATATAATTTACTTGTGATGCACTGTTTGGAACTTTTGTAATTTGTAACAGAGTAATTCTTGGGCTTGACTGAAGACACTATTCAAGAAGTTAAAAAAATATGGTTTAGAGGTTTTCCTTTTGGGGTGAGAGATCAATTTTCAGAAGTCACAAAACTGTGTTAACAATTTTTTTTATCGATTCCATGAAACCCAGGTGGTGAAAAGAAAAACACTCAACCTTTGAGTACTCAACGTGTCTGTTTATTAATTAATACAAAATGCAACTACACAGGAACAATATTATAAAATCATGCCCAAAATATTACAGTTATTAATCCCATAGATAAAACTTTCTCATTAGTAATAAAATAAATTCATACAGAGCCACGCGCGCGGCCTCTGTTGGGGGTTCGTTTGGAACATTTTCGACCTTGCTTCGTCAAAATCTTATCCGAATCCGAAACATCCTTATTTGTCTCATCACCTCTTGCCCTTTGTCTTCTTCCATTTTCCATAGAAACTTGTTATCGATTCGATAGCTATACCTACCGACTGCGCCAAGCCGACATAGCTGAAGTCTTTGTTCTCGCCGTTGGACAAGACGTTCTGGTTACCGATCAAGAGAGTGACGACATTGGAAGCTCCTTTTTGCTGCTCGGCCAGGAAGTGGCAGCACTCGATGATCTGGATGTAGTCGTGCATCTCCTTGTCTTTCCTTTTGGGGTATTTGATGAAAGGAATGGGGGCTCGCTCTTGCGCTCTCTGAGCGCGGAAGAACCTGTTCCCTCGGTGGAACTGGGACTCGAGCCAGCGGATGGCGTCTCTGGCTTCGATTTGTTCTCGTTTAAGGTCATCCAAAGCAGATACGACTGAAAAAAAAATGCAAACTTGTATTGAAAACACTTTCCCAACACCAAATGAACTAATTAATCAGCTATTTAATTAGACTATCAAAAAATAACCAGTAAGGATTCCAATATAATTTTTTTTCAAAAAAGAACTACCTGAAACTATAACTTGAACTCGTAATTCCTGATTCTAATTTATAAACAACGTAACAAAAGAGTTACGTTATATAACTCCCTAGACAATGGTATGCACGTAGCAGGAATATTTTTTGACCTCTCACGTGCATTTGACTGTCTATCTTATGACTTTATTGAAACCAAACTTTTTAATCTGGGATTTAGGGGTGTATTTTTGCAATGGCTCAAACATTTTCTTTCAGACCGTACAATGTTGGTAAAAATGATCCTCGACCAATCAGTTCAGGAGTTCCTCAAGACTCTGTCCTGGGACCGCTTATCTTTCTATTATTCGTCAATGATCTACCCAAATACTTCAACATCAACAACAATAGTCTCACTCTCTTTGCTGATAATACCTCGTTAGCGGTCTCAGCACACAGCCTAGAGGAATTAAAGTCATCAACTTAAAGGTTTATAACACACTTCTTAGATTGGTGCAAGTTAATTTTACAAAATTTATAGGAGTCTATGTGGATGATTGCTTAAGATGGTCTGAACACATTACAGTCATTTGTAAAAAAGTTAACCAAGCGTACTATGCTCTCTCCAGAATAAAACATTATACATTTTTATACTTTAAAACTACTGAGATATATTATCTTTATGTATGTTTATTTTCTTTATACTATTTTAACGTGTTGTACTGACATGTCCTATACGTTGTTAACGTCTCAAAGGATAAATAAATATTATTATTATTATGGCATACAGGTTGTCTCCTCAACTTTAATCCCCCTACTGTCGAGAGACACCGCATATTCTGTCTTGAGACATTGGAGTTTTTTCAAAATATCTGAAAACCAGAGCCTCAATCTGTTGAAGATTCAAAGAACAAAATTATTAGCAACACAATCAAACTATGTTCGACAAAGTTATTGAGATCAATTGTATTTTTGCATCCACAAAATTACAAAACGAGAAAAAGATCATCTCTAGAGAATAAAAATATCTTTCCATCGATGGATGTGATGATTACTTTTCCTGTTTGAAAAATATGAAGTTTTTTGGAGGGTACAGGGATGACATCAATGAGACGCATCAAGTTCCCTTAATGAAAGCCTTGATGTTTTTGGCTATAAAATATATTTACAGAGAATTTGAGGACTGATTTCGTCAAGACACAAGCACACACTCACAGTGTAATAAAATAATAAATAAATCAAATTAAAGTTTAAATTTCGAGATTGAATTGAAATTGAAGTCGAGAATTTGAATTAAACGTCAAAAGTTCTAGTTAAAAATTGCAACTATGAGAATGAAGTCCAAATTTGCAGTTGAAAGCGAAATTCTGGAGAAACCAAAAATAAAAAAACTATGTGGCCCTTCTGTATGACACACCTGACACTAAATAATTGTTTCAATATAACGAAATTCTTCAAAGGTCTGCCTTAGGCCTTATAATTTTTCCTAATTTTCATCAACGATCTTCCTAATAATACAACAACAGGAAAAGTAACAATGTTCGCAGACGATACAGCAGTTATCGTCCGAGAGGTAATTCTCGAGAAAGGTCAGAATAATACAAAAAACTATTGGGAAAATGAAAAACTGATGCCAAAGGAATCAAAGAAGTTTTTTTTGAAAAAAGAGATTTCTTAAAATTTGTGCAATATTCAATTTAGTAATATTGCAATATTGTTTGTTACAAGAGTGAATTTCGATTTCAGTTAACAATTTTTTAATCTTCACACGACACTGAAATTATATTTTACAGAAAACAAATGACCACTTCTCTCACCATACCGTGAGGTGAGTGACAATTGGATCCGGGAATCAAATACCCTAAGCAGAAGCAATGAGTCAAACATGACAGCCTTCACAATTCGTCTAGCCAAAATTTCTGCCTTAGCATGGCAAGCCAATAATCAAAACATCCATCTCAACAGAGTGGTCTGCAAAGAATCTGCGGAGTTTGAAGAGAAATGCTAGATATTTCATCCATTTTCTCTTCTTTTTTCGGGCGATTTTCGTTTCACCTAGAGTTGAAGCCAGGATAAATCGGATTCTTAGGACTATCTCGAAACTTTCAAATGAATCTGAATTATACTATTAGAATGTAAGACAAAGTTGTTGTGTAGTGGTAATAGAAGTGACAATTCAAAAGCTGGGACCAAGGAAGATGAACCATTTGCAACGTTCTCTGGGTTTCAACTCAAAAATATCTCTCTCTTTTGAAACATGAATACCACATTTACAGTAACAAGTTTGATAACTTGGATTTGACTCTATTAATGGGAAGTAGACAGTTCTTAATGCCAATAAACTTATTCTCTCGAAATAATCCAAAAACAAGAGACGATTATCAACATAAAAGCCTAAAAATTCAGTTGTTGATTCAGAACTGATTTTTGAGTAATCTAGAAAAATGTCCTCAAAAGTCCACCTGAAAGTTGAAGTGGAAGTCTTTGGGGAATCAAAGAAGAATCTACTTGTATATCCCGCTTTTTTATTGAAACTTAATCAGCTTCAATTTATATTTTTTCCAGTAATATATCAATACATTTGTGATTTTTTGCTCCTGACTAGGGCCATATATTTAGTCTGGATTTTATTATTCATAACTTTCATGTAACGAAACTGTACTCAATTGAAACTAGAGAAAAAACCTTATACTACATAGCAGATCTTTTGAACAGTATAAAAACCACTGATAAAGTTACTAACTGAACTAGAATGAATTTCTGTTGAAGAATATTTTCATTAAATACTTAATTACCAACCTGAAAACTATTATTTCGTGTAACATGTCAAGATAGTTCACTTATAACAAATGATATTACTCACCTGCAGTGGGAACCAGTACGATAAACTTTCTAGAATGCACCAGATGCTTCACCATGTACGTGTACTTGATGAGAGCGTCAGCGTCGAGCACTAGATAAGGCGAAAGAGCCGCTTTGCCACCCATTCTGCTTTCGAGCGCTCTCACCTCGGCCGCCAGCCATAACTGACCCATGTGCTTCATCTTCGTCAGTTGCCCTCCTTTAGAAGATGAATTGTCATTGATGCCGTTAGCAGAGTTCGATAAACCGTCAAATGGCCCATTTTCAGTTTCTTGAAGTTCCTAGAAAGTGATAATTTTCAATCAATTCGCTAGTTTTTTTCGTATCTGGCTCGAAGGACCATGTAATACAATTTGCTTTTATTTTATCCAATATCTCAAGCCTGGATAAGCAAATTTATTTCAATTTCATATGAAACGCCAAGGAGCGCCGAAATTATGTTCAATAAATTTTCTAATTCAACAAACTTATTCATTGATTCAATTGTTCAATGTCTTCATTTATTCGAAACTTTTACATTTGTTCAAAATGTATTGACCATCATAAGACTTAGTATCTTAATAAATCTATATCGACTAAAAACTATTGATCAATACAAAATAAAAATAATACTCACCAACTCTTCCATTAATGCAGCAGATTTCTTTCCTACATCCTCACTCGTTTCTTTGATCTTACAAACGAAGGCGTTATTCTCCTCCTCATATACAACTTCAGTCTCCAGATTGGCAGTAAGAAACTTCCCGAAAGAGATCAACTTGACAACTCTGATCACCGCTTCTTCTTTCGAACACAAACTCTTCTTGTTCGTATAACTCCAATCCAAAACGCTGTGCGTCTCTTTCAGCATGTCGACGCCTTTGAGCAAAACGTCTTCCGGTAACGGTATCTTCCCCTCTTTGTTGATAATTTCCGAGGATCTCAAATTCATGCCAATCATTTTAGAGCCACTGAGGTTAATGTTGACCAGATTTAAAAGGTGAGTCATTTGTCTCAGGAGTGTTCCGGTATTCGAACCACAAGATTTAAGGACTTCCGGATCGTTTCTGAGCCAATCGTTGAGGATTTTGATGCTCTGCAAAGTGGTTTCTTCTGTGATGATTTCTATCATGTCGTTGACGTCCATCAGCTGGACCTTTCGGAGGACGTCCTCTTTCGTTTTGCTGGGGTTTGCGATCGCAGGCGGTTTGAAGCCGTTTTGAAGACCGTTTGGGGGGGATTGTTTTGGAGTTCCGCAGTTGGATTCGTCAGATACCTGCGCGGGAAATGGAAATTCAGAATGGGAGGGTTGGAATATTTTCATAGCAATTGAATAATACTGACTGAGTAATATTTGATCACTTTAGTTAATGAGTTTCGTTTTGTGAACATAATGGTATTTTTTGGTCGTTGGATTATATCCGACAGGTGTCAGTGCAGGATTCATCACTGAAGTTATTCTTAATTTAATTGAAAAAAAAATCATACCTTTATGATATCAGATTCATCATCAGAGGAAACAGCTAGAACATCCTCGTCATCTGAAATGAAGGAATCATCCGAGCTGCTGAAGCCATCTTCATCATTATCACTGACTTCCGATTCCTCCTCCTCACTCTCATTTTTGAAAGCTTTCCTCCTTCTTAACTTAGATCTGGACCTCTTCCTGCCGACTATCAAATCTTTCATGATCTTGTTGGCTGCTTTAGGCTTAGCGTTTTCATTGAGAGGGTAGTTCAGCACCCCCTCCTGGATGTGGTTTGTAACGTTCTGCACTAGCTGGGAGTAGATGGCTAGAGTGAAAGCGATGGCTGTAGAGAGTTGGGGAGAATTTATGGCACGCAGCTTCGAGATGCAAAGTAAACATATGACAACTATTTTGAAAATCATATCGTTGGTCAAAAAGTGAAAATAGGAATCTGTTTCTGAGGAATCACCATCGGTAGGGGTATCGCCAGACTCGCTAGTCACTGACTTCAAATAGGTTAAACATTCCTCGAAATTTTTGTAGGTCTGATGGCACAAATTGTACACTTTGGCGACTTTTTTGTTGAAGTACCAGATGTCAATTAGCAAGAGGAACCTTGCTAGGAAGCGTTTTATCTTCTCCGGTTGTTGCGGTTCTATTATACAAGCAGAATTGCTATCTTCCTCCGGCAACTGCTCGATGAACTTGGAATTTTTCTCAAACAAGCTCTGCAAGTTGTTCGTTGTACCTTCGAATGAGAATTTACAAGATAAGCATCGCATGTAGTAGTAAACGGCTTCTAGGGAATGGTTTTGGTTCATCGCAAGGGTACCCATTTGGTTGTGGGGCATCCCGTAGTCAGGTTTATATGATATTGCTTGCAAGTAGTAGCGAATAGCCAAACTGGGTTCCCAGTTGGGGTAAATCTCCAACTTGTACCTATAAGAGAACAAATACAGAATAACCGAGAATAATCTGGTTGATGTTTAAATTTCCCTTTTTTTTTTAAACTTTCCATATGTGTAGCATACACTTACGGTCTCTAAAAATTATAATCTTTTTCATTTATTGGGGTGTATGTGTAAAAATTACGCTTTTACGTCTAGAATGCAATAAAATTGATAAGCTAGAATTGGAAATTATTTCGACTTTTCCTTAGAGAAAAATTCTATAATCGTCAAAGATATTGTCAACTTCAACTATCACTACTTATAAAATATCTCAAATATCTCAATTTGAAAATAAATAATAATGTCATTGGTAGGGTCATTGCTGAATATCCTATTTCCACCACATATATTGTAAAAAGTAAGGTACACTTGTAAACATGATCCCCATATTCAATTAGGAGTATTGGACGCAGAATAAGAAATGAATAATTTATTGCACATATTACATAAAATAATGTAACAGCCAATTAGAAGGAAAGAATCGTTATAAAGTAGCCTATTAATTCAGGATTCATGTAAGTATTTTTCGACGAGGATGGTTCAATTTCAATTAGTAATTTCAATAGTGTTATTTTACTTTTTGAAAATGCTGCTGAGATTTGATGGCAAGATTGAATACAGAGTTCCTTTCTGTAGAGAGGAGAGATTATGAAAAGATATATTAAACCAAAAGTTGATTTCAGTGCTTAAAAATAAAAATTCACTACAAGATCTGATGTATTCTTGCATGTTCATATTGGGCAAAAAAGAAGACAGTAAAAAATCTATAATGACGACTTATTAGAACTTGGTTATGAAATCAAAGAAATTCAAGAAATTGAAAATATTTCAAGAAAAAATTTTGAACTCACCATTTTTAAATGTCTGCTTTCTATTCAGATTGAATGGTTTCAAAATCAAGTTACATTGTGTCAATAAATGTATATTACTAAAATTCTAAACATATTTGAAATGTTAAATTGTAAACCATTGTGGAATTAAACTAAAATATGCAAAACCAGGTAATAAAATAACAGATGAAAGAGAATATCAATTAAAAATAGGGAGTTTATTGGGAATTAAACATTTTGGCTTTCTACTTCTCCACCTTCATACAAAAAATGTGAGAAACTTCAAAAGGAAGAAAGAAATTAATTTCAAAATGATGTATCTACAAAGATGTGTTGATCATGTATATCAGTTACTTTCAGATACAAACAGAAAGAAAAAGCCGTTTCAAAACAACTACTTCCATATGAAAATTGAATTACACAAAAAAAAAATACTTTCGAAACAACTACTTCTGTATAAACATTGAATCATACTAAAATCACTTTTTCCTATTCGGATTTTACTCTAAACATTGGTTATGAAATTGAATCAGATATCATTCAAAGGAACGCTACACAATATGGTATATGAAACAAGTAAAATTTCACTTGTACGGAACACTGTCATCCTCATTGGCGGACATTCCTGTTTTGTAATGCGACACTTGTTTCATTGCCTCTTTAGCACCCATTTGGATAACATTATAAAATGAATCACTCAATACATTCATAACATTACAACTTTATGACACAGATGAGTCGAATATACTCATTTCACAAGGGCACTACCTAATAATATTCATTAGTTCATTTAATTATATCCCAGCCAATTTAGGAACTTGTGATGCACTGTTTGGAACCTTTGATGTGGTAATGAATATTACTGGAGTTTTTTCCCAACACCAAACTGTTATTTTAACACTTCGACACGTGTTTCGTTCACTAAAGTGACCATTTTCAAGAGGAATATCAAACAGTAAGATCTTCCTCCTTTGTCAAATGAAGAAAATTAATTTTCAAAAGTTTTTCAATCATTCTTCGAGTTTTTCAAATGAACATTCTCTGCTTTTATATTTATATTGGTTTTCTTGAATAACAAGGATGAAATAATTGAGAACATTTTTATCTTTTGTATTTCAAGGTCGAGAGAAGTAGGATATCACAATGGGGGAAGTCCACAAAAATGTAAATGATTCATAGAAATTTGTATTACATACCTACTGAGATCTCCTAAGTATATGAGGCATTGGTGTATTGATTGCTTGGACCATTCTAGTGCTTCCGGCCTGGCATCACCTGTATCTTTCTTTTTCTCATGTGACATTGGAAAATCAACAGCATTTGTTACAACCACATTGAATTCATATTGTAACCTTGATATCATGTGATGGTAAAACCCAATGCCAGCGTTAATGTGGGCCTGTATATGTGTTATTTCATTGGGGAGATATTCCTTCTTCTTCAACTTTTTCGCAGTCGAAACCACGTCGTAATAACTTTTTCTCCATAACAGCTCTTCACCTTTACGACCGTATAATATAACATCAGAAAATATTAATCTTTCGCAGTATTCGCAAAATTTTTTTCGCTGTACTTGTAAATTTGGTGTGAACAAATCTCCTATATTTCGGGCACAACTTCGTGCGTCATCTAAACGCTTGGCTTGTTCACTTATGGATCTTGAACAGAAAAAGAAAAATGAGGTTAGGTATAACTGAAAACTTGATAAACAAGTGGGCTGTGACTTTCTATGAATAACTTCTTTACACGCGTCATTATCTAAAAACTCACCGATATAATTTTTTAGAGAGCTCCTGCCCCTGGTTTTGGTTAATATCAGTTTGAGTGTAGGTTTTCTTCATTTCAACTCATTTCAGTATTTTTATCCTGGTCAAGAATTCAATAAACTTTTTTCTATTTTGAATATTTCCAGAATACTGGTTGTAAAACAACTCATTGTTAGTTCATACTTAATTTCACAAACGTATTTTGACACCATCACAATTTCTTATCAATCCGAATGAAATGTTCATGGCCAAATAAAAATTATTTCAATAAATTTCACTCACATCTGTCGGAACATTTTAGCACTCTTTGATTTCTACTGAATATTTTCGAGAATGTGTCTCCATCTATCATTCTAAAGTGGACATTTGGGATTTCTTTTTATGGAATAACAATTTTGAGAATCTTCATGGAAAATAAATAAAATATTGAATATTACTGATAAAATTCTATAAAAATAAACCAATATAATGTCAATATGATTATTTTGTTATTATTTACAATCAGTAAATTTTTTACAGATTTCTGTATTTCATCTCCGATTCATAGGTGTTAGTTCACGAAAATGCTAAAAGTGATAGGGTAGCGCAAGTGTAGATAAAGGATCAATCACTTGTCTGTCATCAACGTAGTCAAGAGAGGATTTAGTTAGTCTGTTATATTTACTATATGTATAAAAAATAGTATTCTAGTGGACTAGCGATAATGATATTTTAGGGTCCTTTTTTTATGACATTGCGAATCAAATGTCACTGTCAAGTGTCCAAATTTTCTTGTCATATCAGTATGTGTCTTTGTCAGTTTTTTAGATGTGTTAATTTCATCCGAGAAGGAAGCGCCCAGAAAAAAAATGAAGCGATGTTATTTCGAAGAAAAAAGTAAGAACCCCAATTTTTCAGCCTACTGTGGATGGGTTTGTTCTGGCACACTTAAATGTGATTAAACTTGATTTTTATAAATTACTTTCCCTACCAATTGGCTGGATGGCCTTTGTTACTGAGGCCAATAATTGAATATTAAGAAGAAGTGAGATTTTGTCCTTGTCTTATGTATGTAATCATCTGAATCAATTCAAGAAAAGCGAACCAGAAGTCAACAAAAAAAAGACTTTTTCAATAAATAAAATGGCTGCAGCGGGGGCCAAATTCCGACAGGAAATGCCTCCTCCTGGGGGTTACGAAAAATTTGTCTATGAAAGAGTGCCAGCCAGAACAATTTTTGGAGGTGGGTATTCATCTACATAGGTAAAACAACTTCCTAAAGTTATGTAATATGAAATTAACCTCAATGTCTTTCAGGCAAGGCAATTATCGGAGGCTACCTGGTCATGACAGCAGGAGCCGCCTATCTATATGCTCTCAATTACAAAGCAGTAAAAAACCGAGAACTAGAAATGCGTTGCGCTAGCTTAGCGATATACCCAATGCTACTAGCAGAAAGAGACCGAGAATACTTGAAACAGCTTCGTAGAAACAGGGATGAAGAGACCAAACTGATGGCAAATGTCGAAGGATGGAAAACAGGGACGTGGTATGGAGAGCCTATTTTCCACACGAACAAACCAGATACTTTAGTGAACCCAAGGTTCCAAGATTACTATGTTCATGCTTCTTTTAAAGATTTCAAGAAGAGGGGACATATAGGTCTTCTTTCTTAGAGTACAGACTCTTTTTAAGTATGCTTGTTGAGTAGTATGAATTTGTTTTTGAAAATAAATTTATCTTGGAAAATGTTGATGCTAATTGAACACTTACCTGAAGAAGTAAGCAAAATATTCATTCGGAACATCTGAAAAATGATTTATATACCAGTTTCAAGATAGTTCTGGGAAATTGGATCACTAACTACATTTCATTTGCCAACTTTGATTCTCTCATGGGTTGGAAATATATATATATTAATAATGTTGAAAATAGTTTCGATACATTTTTCAAGTCTTCAATGCATAGGTAGTTATTGATTTTCATTTCGAGATTGATACATTCATCTCAATAGATGTAATCACCTTGAAAAGAAGTGTTCCTTCAATGCTCAAATTAAAATATTACTGAAATTGCTTCAATCCACTTATAGATATAAACATGATCCTTCATGTACAAGTTATTTGTTTTGGTCTTAACAAAACAACATAAATTCTTATGACTTAGAGTAGTCTGAGTCAACTCACAAATGAATTTTTTTCTGAGTTCTGGCTAATTTTGACATGAAATTGTAAATGGCAACCAATAATTTACTCTTGCCTCAGTATTGAGAGGTTTCAAGTTCCAATTTGAAACGGGATGTTCAAATTCCCATATAGATGCTATTTTTTTTTTATTTTATACCCTTTTATTTACTTCCAAATTTGAAATTAAGGCGTCCTTTTTTTCATTCTCCATCCCCGTCACAATATTTGTGATGCTGTTTCTACTTACAGGCAGATGTCGCCACAAACATGTATATTGATGGTTTCTCAATTACTTATAAAATAAAATATTATTTTTTTTCGTGATTTATTAAAGGAAACTGTTGAAAAAATAATTTAGAAAATATCAAGAGAATGTTATCAAATTTATTAAAATATTAAGCAATGCTTTCATAAATGATTAAATTTTTACATCTCGCCGACACTAACTCAGTCATTTTGAGTATATATACACATTTCCAAGCTTCTCTAATGTACTCGCTTCGGCGGTACATATACTAAAATTGGAACGATACAGAGAAGATTAGCATGGCCCCTGCGCAAGGATGACACGCAAAATCGTGAAGCGTTCCACATTTTTTTGTAGTTTTGATTGATAGTTTGGTTATTTTTTTGAGAAACAATCTGTATCGATATACTTTATTAGTATGATTCAGTTTGCTTCCGATAATAGTTAATTTTCAAAATACATATAAAACTTTGGGTGAATCGTCGTTCAAAGATGAAAACTCTATTTTCACCTGAAATATGTATTCAGTTTGAGAATAAGGAAGAAATGTAATAAATAAATAGGATGATACAAAACAAGGTTTGGACTGTTCACAGGCCAACTAATATTTTTCAAAAATTCACTTTTATATATTTCTCATATAGAATATAAAGAGACAAAATAACATTTTCTGTGAACACATAGCGCCGGATTGAGGATTTTTGTACTTTTGCAACTCAGCAAAAATTCTACCTTCTGTATGCCCTGATAAGAATATGTCCCCAATACTTATCTATATGATATTGAATTAAAATTCATTATTAATAATAGTCTAATGTATCTTGATATATCTTTCAAATTAAGTTGTCCATTGTAGTTTGGTTCCTTGTTTAAGTATAGCACAGAGTACCTATATGAATGCTTATTCAAAGTTTGAAAATAGTATAAAGTATTCAGAGGAAAAAAAATAGAGTATAGCTTAGTTTTTTTAAAGGTATATTGAATGTATTGAGATTATCTATTGAAAGAAAAATATACTTTTCACTATTGTTTTCCAAGAATTTGTGTCCACGTGGTATGGAACATTTTTTAAAGTTCCTTAATGACAGTCCTTCAGCATGGTCGCGTTACAAGAATCCCCATAAAAATCGTTTGATATCAGATCTGGTGAATCGTCAGGCCATTCAGCTGTTTCCATAACAATTCGAAGATAACAGCAATATCAATTGAATTTCGGGAGGTGTCGATGAAGTTTGAAAAAAATACAAACGTTTATCATAGATCGGAAAAATTTCAAAGCGAAGTATGTTAGTATGTTTTTTTTCTGAGTATTTTTGAGGTTCATATAGCCTGCAAACAACATTTTCGTTGCGATGAAAATGATTAGAAAGGAATACACAAAATCGAACATTTTAATATATTATGTCAAATTCAATTTTCCAAAAATAGGGTTGATTTGTACTATATGTGATGAATACATGCGAACTATTATCTATACTTTATTACCTCAAAAAAATAGAATCAATAAAAAATAAACTCAGTAGGTGACCTCGTTCACTCTGTACCAAGTTGAATTCCATGGGGTTTGCTATTTATCTATGAAATTGCTAACCTACTTTCGTTTTCTTTCTCGATATTTAATATACTTTTAGATAGGTACCCTACCATCAAATATTAAATCTTCCTCATTCATTCTGCCAGCATTACTATTACCATGCTTACCGCAATAAAAAATCCTAATAGTTTATATTCGTTACTTTTACTTCCTCTTTCAGTTGCAACTTCATAATTTCCATCTCAATCGACTGAACCACTTTAGTCAAGAGAAATGATCGTTTAAAGTTCATAATCGTAGATGACTTTGAAAAAAAATACATATTTTTCAATAGAATTATTATTAAATCTCCTCACGTTGAAGGGCAGAAGATTCTCAAAATAATTGTCAAGCCTTTGATACGTATTACTTTTATAGACGGGTATTTGACTTGTAAAACAACTCCCGACTTCCCGGCAAACAATTGACAGGACGGCCTTGGAATGTCACTGGTAAAGTAAACGAATGAAAATCAACATAACCTCCCAAAAAGTACCAGTGTTGTTGAAATTGAAGAAATTTTTTGTCCATGTTTTTTAATGAATATCAGTTAATTTACCTAACTATAAGTGTCTCATGTGTAGTGTAGTGACATTTTTTATAAATAACATCAGAACAACAGATACGCATCAGGTTAGTAGGTGTGAATGATGCTTCTCAGTGACATACCTATTGAATTAAATTCTTCATGTATGTGTGAATGTTTTTTGTAATAGTGGGATATACAGTATTAGTGGTGTTACCATCGTAAACATTTTTGAGAAGGTTGAACACTTCATCAATGAAAAGGTTATCTGCAGACAGGGCCGTAGCGAAAAGAAATACCAGGGGGGGAGGGCATCCAAATTTTCAAGGCCTAGGTATTAGTTACTACTCTAATATATTGATTTTTTTACCTAGCTATCCAAAGATTGGCTGAATGCTTATGTCCGTTAGGGTATGCACAAACAAAAATAAATTTTGGTAATTATAAAAATAATAATGGGAATTATTCTACTTTGGACCAAGGTCTTTGGTTTTCCACCATATCCACCATGTATAGGAATATTCAATACAAATGAAAGGAAACATTATTTGAAAATTTAAAAGTAAAAAAAACATAAGAAAAAGATACCCAAGTTGAACTATTATACAATGTGTGAAAGCTATTTTCCGGGTTTTTTGTCTGTGGTCTACATGTTTTCATGCCTGATGTTTCGTCTACTACTGCGGTAGACGAAACATCAGTTGTTGTTCCCAATGCAGAAACTAGAATCCCCCCCATGCAGTTGAACAGTTCACAGTTTCAGTGAATGATGCGTTTCGAGCGGCCACCTCCAGGGCTGAAGAGCTATAATGAGTTTCCGCCTCGTATCAAAGCCTTGATACGAGAGAGAAATCACTTGAGAAGGCTCTATCAACGAACCCTTTTCCTGGAGACAAAATTGCGGCAAACAGGATGGCCAACCAAGTCAAGCAGGCCATCATTGATCATCGAAACGAAAGGTGGACAGAGCTTTTGGAATCCTTCGAACCTGGGGATGAAGAAGACTGCTCTCTCACTCATTCACGGAGAGCGTGGAGTGTGCTTCTCCCCCGCCGATAAAGCGTTAGCCTTTGCCGACACGATGGAACGTCAGTTTCAGTTTAACGTTGACGACGATGACGACATCGACCGCGATATGATGTTGGAAGACCGGGTTCACCGTATCCTCAGGGAAAATGACATTGGATTCTATCCGTCCGGCTTCTGTGGAGGAGCTGAAGGGATATATCAGGGCCGCAAAGGCCAAGAAAGCTCGGAGGGTCGATTCAATAACCAATAAGTTATTGAAGAGGCTCCCGGAAAATTGCGTCGAGAACCTACTGTTCATCATAAACAGTTCGTTGGCCCTCAGACACTTCCCCAGAAGGTGGAAGCATGCAATCGTCGTCATGATCCCAAAACAGGGTCAGAACCCGCTGTTCCCACAGAACTATCGCCCGATCAGTCTACTCTCGTCGGCGGCTAAGCTGGCTGAAAGAGTTGTTCTCCAAAGACTGAACGAAGAAGTTGAGGACCGAAATGTTCTGCCTGATGAACAATTTGGCATCAGGAGAGAACACTTCACTGAGTTACAGGCTCTAAGGCTGGTCGAAAACATCATCCAAGAGCTGAATAACAATAAGCTCTCTGTCTGATAACAGACAGAGAGCTCCGGAGCTCGGCGTCGTCTACATGCAACGTGCATTGGACGACCTCGAGCGTTGGTACCTCGATTGAAAGATCCGAGTGAACCCGGACAAGACTCAGGCGATAACCATGGGAAGATTGTTATCTTCTCCGGACAGAAAAGTGAGAATCTCGGGAAGGGAGATTGACTGGCAAGCGCGGGTAAAGTACTCGGCCTCCTAATGGACCGTAGGCTCACTTGGAACCCGCACATTATGTACGTCAAATCAAGGATCGAGAGTCGGATTGCAAGTATGTACCCTCTGATTAACAGAAAATCAAAAATGAGTTTGAAAAACAAGATTACCATCTACAACACGACGTTCAAGCCTGTCATCATGTATGCTTCAGGCGTCGAAATATAATATCTCCATTCTGGAGGTATTGCAAAATAAGATAATGAGGATGATTGTGAATGCTCCTTGGTTCGTGCGCAATGAAGCCATCCGCAGAGATTTACAGCTGCCTTCCATTCGGCAGTCCATTCAGTCGAGGAATCGGCGAGTTTTTGGAGGTGCGGAAAATCACGAAAATCCGTTAGTTAGGGAAGCT